ATTAAAATGTTTTGAGGATCAGTCAAGTTTTTCTAGTCATTATTTAGGCCTCAAATAAAAAAACACAACTTCATGATAATCTTCATGTCTTGTGAGATCTTATACTTGAACTGTATATCTCCTGATTGAGAAACTGTTGTGAACGTTGTTTGATGGCTTTTAACACTTTTAGAATGTGCGTCTTGGAGTGGAAATTTCACTGAATGCCTGTTTGTGATTTCTCGTCCTTTGACAGTTTGAGAAACACAGGAATCATTGACTATTTCATTTTTATTTGCCTCTTTGAAGAAAAAAATGTCACGTTATTTTTTTGCACATTTGACGACCAAGCCAGTCTGCTGTCCGAAACATGAGTTAGGAAGATAATGTGCGTTTGATGTTTTCTCGTATTTTTTTTAGAACTGAGCAGCAAGACAGACCTGCTGGCTTTGAACAAAAAGACTCTGACTGTGACATCGGGAGCATCTCCCACAGAAGACCCCAGTTCTGAGACAGTGCTCTGCCCCTACATTAACCTGCAGCTGCTCAACGCAAAGCCACAAGGTCAGTTCACCTTCAGTGCAAAGGCCCATTAACGAAGGATCGGTTATGGTAATTATTTTAAAATCACAGAGGTACTGTAAAAGGTTTGAGGTTGCTACTGCTGAGGAGGATGGTGTTTTTCCACTCAAACTGCCAACTTTGAATTGAGAGTTTTGAGAACGGAATGATAGAGGATGCCTCGGCCACCATATTGTCAGTATCAGTAGGCCTCTGACCTTTCTTGGTTTCTGGAGGGACCATTAAAGACAAAGCAGACCGCAACAGCCCACACACAAGTCAGTTCAGGAAATGTGAAATACTTAGAATCATAGTGGGGAGTGAGGGAAGAACCGATGGTTGCAACAGTGCAGAAATTCAAGACTAGACTGGCATAGCTTCTCAATAGGCACAAATCAAAAATGGCGTCGCATGACGAAATTCAGGATTGTATTTTGAAGTTGTTTTTCGTACTGCTATGGGCAGAGAATTCCTTTCTTGAAGACCCTGGTGATGAGTGATGAGTTCGGATAAAAAGGTGAGATGGAAGCATTAACAGCTGCCATGCCCAGCTGCAGTATGTATAAATAGTGAGGACGTTCTGATGACCTCTACTTTACAGCCATGCTATTATTGCAACCACTAAGTGGGTCCTAGGCAATCTGTATCTCTACTAGCTAATGTACTGTACTACTAAATAGAGGTGCACAGTAAAACCGGTATCCCAGTAAACCGTGGTCCTTTAGTCACGCGGTACGTACCGTGGTACGTTTTAGACCATACTGGTATGTTCCGTAATTTCCGGCAGTTTCCATCTTACAGCTGGCAGCTTTGTTACTTACCATGAAAGTTGCTTTTTCAGATATTTACTATGTTATGCAGATTCAGAAAATAGCTAGAATATTTGCAGTATGAGCAGTATGAATACAGATCCTGTAGTGTAATTTACCAGATTGCCTTAAGCGCTGTACTGATTGTTGAAATGTATAAAGATGAGAAGAAGATGTCAAGTAGTTGACCTAAATACTCATGGATATGTAGACGTGCTCTCCTTGTGGTTGTAGTGCCCTGCAGTTAGTATCCTTTTTAGTCTTTTGCAATGGTTAGCACTCTAGACCCTGAATGTTCAGACTTCAAGCCACATTGCACTCTGTTTTCAGCTGATCCAGATGGCCCCCTCTCTTTTGTAAAACACTCTTTTGCTCTTCTAGAATGCCAGAATGGAGAAGTGGGAACTCTGCTGTTGGCTAACCCCTCTGGCCAGAATGGGCTTACATACGAAGGGCTCCTGCAGGAAGCGGCAAAGGTGTTTGGGCTGCGAAGCCGAAGACTCCAGCTATATCTTGACGAGGCCCTGAGCGAAGGTAAGGCCTTTCAGCCCCAATGACTATAAAGGCTTAGCTTTTAACGCATAGTGGAGGTCTATGGAAGAAGACAATGGACTTACCACTTTTTCTAGAACACTTTAGGTATGTGTGTAGCAGCTTTCACCTTCTGTTAGAGCTTAGTTAATCTTCAGTAGGGAGAGAATTTCTAGTTAATGAGCTGTAGCGTGCTCCTTTGTTCCATCACTCTTCTGTCAGGGCAAAGCAGAGGGGAGTCTACTGCCACTATAATCTTGAGCTTTGTTTTTTTAATCACGGACTGGGACAATGGGTACAAGTAGTGCATCTTGGGACCCTTGTTGAACAAGTTTCAGTCTTTAACAGTTACCACTGACTTGCATTTTTACAGTCTTTTTTTTTAAGAATTCGAATTTTTAATCATGCTTGCGATGTTAAACTGAATTATGCCTATTGTTTTAGATGGTAAAATCTTTTATTACAGAAATGGTAATAAAAAATAAAGAATCTGATGCTTCCATCGTGCATATCGCACACCCCAAAAATGGAGCAGGATCGTTTTTCCCCCTTCTGGGGAAACTTTGGAAGAGGATAGTTTGCAATGTTTGTATATTTGACTTGATTATAATTAAAACCATTAACATGACCAATGGCCCTTGTTTGAATTTGAGCTTATTGGAATATTTGTTTATAGTATTAAAGGAGATGTGGAGCATTTTGCTCAGACTTGGTAGTTCACTGAATTTGTAAAGGACTTAATGTGAAAAGACTGATTACTTAAGATTTTTTTCTCCAATATCCATATGCAAATATGTTAGCAATTAAATGTATCCGTGAAGTTTTATTCATCAGTTTATGATACATATTCATCTTTTAATTAGAATAAAGGCTATGGAAATGCAAGAACATAGATAAAACAGGTTTTTAGGGCATTAACAAGTGATGGACAGTTACAAAATTAGTTTTTTTAGGGATCACAATCACCACAGGAAAGCACCTAGCTTATTATAGGCATGATGTGAAAAATGTTTTTGGTCAATTTTAGTTTCATATTTGGTTATTTAGCTGAAAGTTTGGAAGTTTTTTTTTATTGCCAAACCTTGTTTATTGTTCCCTTTCTGCATTCCTCAGCTTATATAATTCTCTCAATAAAAGTAAAAAAAAAACAGTCAAAGAGTAAAAAAATCTCTTACAATCTTAATGGCTGTTTACATTTTGTTCATCAAATGCTTTTGGCAAAAACAATTTGAGACTTTATGTAATTTAAAGATGGTATGGTCGCCTGTTGTTTTTTCCTTTCAGTTAAAAATCCATGTTTACCAAATTTTGTGTATTCAAGGTTAAGAAAGAAAATTAAAAGAGCTAAACATATGCAAGTGAACAAAAAAATTGGTTCCAGATTCTTTGATATATACTGAGTATCCGGACAAAACACTAAGGCAGTGCCTTATTGACAATGATCTATTAGTGCTTAGAACTTGTAAGCACTTGAATAAAGGTTCTAAAGTTGTCCAGAGTATTTGTTTTTTTTATATACTTGAACACACGAAAGTAGGTCACATCCCTCAGGCACCTAGAGCTCTCCAGTCTGACATCTGAAACAATGAATCAGGGCTATGATGCAGAAATATTACAGATACATTGCAGGAAAAGTTCTCCATTCATTTCAGAGTCTGTTCTTGAACGATGGCAGGTTTTTATTATCCAGTGCAGTTGACGTGCTGCAGATATTTCTGGTTATTTATGGTGTTTCTTGAAGAATTGCAGTTTTATTTTCAACAGTGGTAGCTACAGTTATTTGTGATATCTTACAACCTGGTATTATCTGTATTTGATCTACATTTAACATTATGAAGCTAAATTCTTCAATTCGCCATAATCCATTGAATTTTCTTAATTTGGAGAGTCTTGTCAATAACATTGACATCATACTGTTTCATAGTGTGAGATATTGATTGTTTTAATCCATGTTTTATTTCTGTATTTTTTGACAAATCCCAGTTTGTCAAAAGATGCCATCAAGATATATAAAATATTTAGAAAGTGCATCATCATAAGGTTTTATTACAAATAATTATTTGTCGAGAATTTGACAAGACATTTGGGAGTGTTTCCTTTTACAGATTTTGTGTATCTTACATTAGCAAAAGCATCTTTATTTCTTATTATGCACACATTATAAAATGCATCTTTATATATTTCAGAGATCACAGAACAGACCTCAGTGAAGACACTGAACATGAAGATGGTGTTTGTAAGAGTTCTACCTACTACAGCAGAAGCATAAATGTTTTTAAGAATTGAAATGGTATTCACTATTGAAATTGTAGATCCCAGATCTAAGTATTGTACCACAAATTGGTTGGTTTAGTCCAGGGTTTCCCAAAACTGGTCCTGGGAATCCATCAAAGCTGTGAGGTTTTGTTCCAGCTGAGCTCTTTACTTAATTGATCTAGCTGCTTGATTGAAATCCTTGTCATTGTTTTTTTTATGCAAAACTATTAGTTACTCACAAAATGTAACAGGTATCCTTAAGCATGTTTATGAGCTAAAAACTGAGTTCATATCAATCCTATTATCAGATCACTTAAGGATTTATTAAGTTAGTGAGGGCTCAGCTAGAATGACAGCCATCCTGGACTATCGATGCGGAGGAGGGTTGGGAATTGTTGACTTTGTCCTCATGCAGAACTTTTGCAATCTGCATTTCCTTTATTGTTTCACTTCTAAAGTTCTATGTAATAAAAGGTAGTAAAATAATACAGTACATGTGAGGTCAGATACCCTCCTGTATTTCCATTGAGTCGTAAATTTTTACAAGGATTGTTTTTTTTTTTTAATTCAGAAAGGATGTTTGTGCTCTATTCTTTGTATGTTTTTCCTCAGAGTGCTGTCTCAATATCATATTCCTGCATAGAATGGCTTTTGATATCAGGAGTTCAAAAAACAGAACTTAGATTCCCTCTAGAAAGATTCCAGTTTGGGGAATTTTATCTTCCAGAAAAGCAGTTGGCATTTTTCTCTCTTGGAAGCATTTTGACCTCATACAGCCTCTGCGCATGTCCAAGTCAAGGTCATTCTCCCTTTCGGAGATATAAAGGATAAAGGAAATGCTCTGTGCTGTCACACTGTTAATTCAGAAAAAATGTTTTTTCAGTGATTCGTGTTGGGAGTTAAATGACATCATTCTTAGCCTTGCTTGCAAACTAACTACAATTTTATCATTCATAATCTCCTAAATTGTGTAATTCTTGGCATTAGGTCCCTGCTGTGGATTGGGGAGTTAACGAAACAGGAGCAGTTGTTTTAGGTTCTGTGGTACCTTTTCATCAAGATAGTGTATCTACATAAATTGGCAAAATGTGAGCTTTTGCCATATTGGCGATGGGAATAATTTGGTGCAGAGGTATGCATAATAAAATGGCTTAAAAAATGTTGTTCCTGTGTTTTCTTCATATGCAGTACAAGTCAGAACTACTGTCTTCATTCTCATATCCACCTGGTTTGGCAGTTGAACTGTAAACAAAGTGTGAGTTAATCATTGATTAGACAGACACCTTTGATCTGTAATTTTCAGGAGCTTCACCCATTTGTAAAATCCATCAAGTCACGACATGTGGTCCATATAAATCACAGCTAAATATAAAGAGCAGTGTTCCAGTGGGCGTGTACCAGAGAAGATTTAACATGCAGTTAGATGAAAGCTCAGAGATGAACAGCTCGTTCAGCAGTTCACTTCTGTTACAGATGATGGTGCTGTTGCTGAAAGGCAGTTGTGTAACTCGGATTCCTCACGAGAAAAGACCTTTTATGTATAGCAATACAAATTCAACATTTCATTTTGGGAAAGCATGCATGATTTTGATGAGTCTTTGGAGATTTATTGCATTCATATCATGTACATTTCTACTGACCCAACATTGCGTATTGTAAATTTCAGTCAATTCCAAAGGGAAACCTTTTAGCTATGTTTGTCAAATCATAAGTGTGATGTACTTGAATCCTGGATTTTTTGTTGTAAGTACTGTAGAGCTTGCCTCAGAAATGTTTGTTTATGCTAATGTTAAGCAAAACCGAACTGTTAATGGTAGTGGTTACAAAGACATATGCAGGGCTGGAGCATTTTCCCATTTAAAAATACTAAGCTATGCATTTATTTGTATATTTCTCATTCGCATTCATTATCTTTTCTTTAAATGTCCTTTGTGTTTTGTGTGATATTTTAAATATTGTTATTGATGTAGATAAGTTGGTGAAGTGAATTTGTTAATAATCCAACAATTTCACTTCACATTTGAGGATCACTTCATCATAGGCCCTTTGTGCATTCGCACTCAGTCATTGCTAAAAAATAAGTTATTTTGCAGCTAGCATTAAAAGCTTTTTAATCCTGTTTTTTTTTAAGCCTCTGGTGGACATACTATAAGTGTACTATTTGTTGAAGACTAGGCTAAATGAATGAGGTGAGAAAGCTTGAAGACGGTCAACATTCAAACTTCTCTCTGCATCTCACAGGTGATTGATAACCTACTAATATTTTATTTGGCTGATGCTTTTATCCAAAGCAGCTACATTTTATACAGCTGGGTGATTTACTAGCATAATATGGATGAAGTGCCATGCTCATTTACAAGCGCCTTCCACTTGCAAGTCCAGAGCCCTAGCCTCTACTCCATATCGCTGCCCAGGGTTATGTGGCTGCTGTAGTTGTGTTCATCTTTGATGTGTTTCAAGGTATCTTTCAGTTTATTAGGTTATGAAAACGATGGAAAAGGACAAAACTTTAGAAAAAAAGTGTACAAAGAAAATATAAACTTAAAGTTGTAGTTCAATGAACCTTTAAGCCCACCAACAAAGACGATTGACTAACTGGTTTGTGGAACATGCTGTAGAAATCCTTCCGATACCAAAGCATTTGCAGTTGCCTGGCACTTAAAATATCACTGTACTAAAGACACCACCACCTGTGGAAATTGTCGTGGAACAGAAACACCCTGCAAATGAAAAATGATAACTGATCTTCAAACTGGAGACACTTTCTTCTCTGGCATTATGCCGGCCTCATCCACAGAAGTTTTGAAAAACCCGTCTGCTGCCCTGTGGTTATATTTCTTCTAAACAACTGAAGAAAGTGTTTTGTCTGGAAAAAACCCTGGAACAAATGGCTTTTTAATTCCTTACAAAGAAGTTTATGTTTAAGAGACCCATCTCACCCACCACTGAGGTGAACCACACTCCTCGGTGAACCATGGGAGCCATTTTGCCCCCATTACACAGCAGTTCAGATGAAGATGAAGAAGTGGGAAATTAACTCTTTGAATTAAAGAGGAACTTCATGTACTGTAGGCTAGACTGTGCAAATACAGTGTGTAATTAAGTCAGGAAATGGGTGTTAAGATCCCTACACTTGAGAACAAATTGTTCATTGGCCAAGTCACTTGGAAAAATATAGAATTATATTAATATATATTATTTTATTATACATATTTCATGTCTTAGCTATAAGACATCATCTCATACAGTATAGAGTCCCCTGTGACCATAGTGAGGTATCATCTTATAAATTGTGGTCCAGGATGAACAGTGTAGCCCACTGCTCTACCAGTGCTACAGACGGCAACACCCTCATTTCTTTTGGGGGGTCTCCCATCTCAGTACCGATCAGGCCCACCTTTGCTTATTTTCTGTGATCTGACAAAATCAGGCTACATAGTGGTAATATAATGTAGCTGCTAAAGATCTTCCCATCATTTCTTAGTCACATAAGTGTTCAGGGTCTGACTAGTTACAGGTGTCACTTGTGAGGGTTATGATATTTAGGGCAATGTAGCACATCTGTTGCTTGTCACAATGTGTTATGTAAAATTGTATAATAGTCTGTGGACGTGATCCATCATGACTGGCTATAGCACCTTGAGCTCTGCTATCAGTGGTGTTTTCTGCCAACCTTGCTATTCCAAGGAAAAGCCCTAGAGATAGTCTTGATGGATGTGGTCATCCCACTGTTGTGTGGAGGAAAATGTTTGCACGAACACCCACGGTCTTAGCTCTTGTGTACAGGCTAGGACAATCTGCTTGATAATGAAATGTTCCTTAGCGTGTTATGAGGTTAAGATGAAGAATGAGACCTAATCTGCTTTTTTGAAAAGACTTCTGCTCTAGAAAAAGTTCCACATAAAACCACCTCCTGGATATAGCAGAAATTCAATCCGAATCCAAAGTAAACATTTTTCCATCTTCAATGAATGTTCCCCTTGGTGTACTTTATAGTGCAATATTTGGACTTTCTTTAGGAATGTTTACGCTAAACATTGTACAAACATTTTTTCTTTAATTTCAGTTTAGTTTAACATTCCAGCAAAATATACATTAATATGCATTTAGAAAATATTTCTAAATAATATTATCTTGTCTATAACCTGTTTAAACCAATAACAAATGGCTAACTATAGTGCAGAGTGTGTTAACAGTTTGAATAAAAAAATAAGGAGCTATATATTTGATTAAAATGAACTGAAAAGGAAAAAAAGTGCCTTGCAGGAATATGTATTTTGTCGGTCTGTCAACACAAAAAATAAGACTCTGCATCTTTAAACATTTAGGGCTGACGGTAAGGACTTTGTCAATGAAAACCAGACCGAGTGCCCCTTTTTTAAGGTCTTTCTTTTTTTCCCAGGCCTTGCTTGTGTGGTACGTAATGGAAAAAATCTTAGTCAGTTAAAAGTAGTTTCAGCTTCTCTTGCCCTCTCCGGCAGGATCTTTTACAAAACTCAACACTCTTCATAGGAACACATAGCAACAGAAAATAGGTAAGAAAGCATTTGGTATAGGGTTCTAAAGACGTAAGAATTATCCCTTGTATATATGCTTTCTTAGAGCCCCTGTCCCAGATTTACAAAGGGATTTAAAAAAAATAAAAGTTACATTCTTGCGCATTTAAATCATTATTTTATTGTTAAGAGCGCAGTTAAATCAGCTGAAAGTTTATATAAAAACACACTGATCGGTGGATGATGCGAGATAAACATTCATGCTGCACCTGGACCAGTAATGCAGAAATGGACTAGATTTATTCTAAGATCTTGTCAGGTTACAACATTTAACGTTATAATTTAGAATCGAGAATGCAAACTGTTGAATTACATTACATTTTTAAGAGTTATTGCTTTCGCAAAGGTTCTTTATACTACAGCAGTTCTGACTATGCTACAAGTTGAACTGGTGATAACGTCAGTCATTCCTGTTTGCAGGCTCTTAGAATAATGTCCTTAAGGCGCAATTTCAAAACAGTTGTTTACTGTTAAAAATACTTCCGTGCGTTAAATCTAAGATTTAATGACAGAACCCCACGTCTCCTTTACTTCATGTCTAACAATGCAGACATTTTAACCCCAATATTCCTTTAAATGATCGCTACACACCTGCCTTTGATATACGGACAGGTATGTCACCTGTCGAAAATTTTTATAATGAGATAAAAAAAAAAGATTTTGCATTGTATTCGCAATCTGTAGTGTCTAGGGGGCCCTACAGGTAGAAACCAAGTCATGGTCTTTTAAGTTTCTTGGTTGATCCGTCTGGGGAGTCACTGTGGACTTGCAGCAAGCTGAAAACGGATCTGTTTAATTCCGTGCGTTTAATAAGGCGCCCCTGGAGTGGAGTCGCTCTTCTGCGGCTTAGCAACAGCATCCCTCCTCTGACGGGATCACTTCGCTTTTGTGCCGTGCTCAGCAAACGCAGGTAAGACGACGTTTATTATCATAAGACACATTAGCACCGGCGTTGAAATCAGCCTTTCATTTGGCGTTTCAAATTACAGATATGATTGAGCAGCGCCATATTTTAGTATTCTGTGGAAATGTCATGTGTATGACCTTGCGGTGGTGCATTTCTCAAAATGCGCTGTGCATGTTAAAATATCCCGTTTTTTTAATATATTTTAGGTTGAGGTTCAGCAACTTTTTTTCCATCATGTGACTTGATGAAAAATACTGTATGTGATTGACCTGTTTGCGCTTGTCACTTAGGCTCTTAAATGAATGTAAGTTTTAGTTTTAACTGGTATAGATTTTTAATATATATATTCCTACGTTTTTTTCCCATCTTATTACTAACATTCTGTTCGCTAGAACATTAAAGCAGGAATCTATTAAAAAAAGTAGCTTATCCTTTTATCCACACTAAGGTCACTGAGATACTCCGATACTGCAAATAAACTGCTTTTGAAAAAGTTTTAATTTGGGGGAATTTTAGTATGTCTAGCCTAAGAACACAATGTTGAGAAAATTATTTTATAGATTTTTTTTTTTAATTTTTGTAGTTGGATATTATGTAAAAAATACAAAATTATCCAGCAGAAGGTCAGATATATAAACCCCTTCAAGGTACGAAGAGATTCAAAGCTTGAATATGTTAGTGAAAAAAAATCCTAAAACAG